CAGCAGCAATCTCTCTGTCTGGAATAAACAACGAAGGGACAAAGACAAAATTATACAGTAACTGAAAGCAATTAGCTGAATCTGGGGAAAGGAGTTGAAGCTACATGAATAAGAGAGATTTGACATCTGATTGGTAACTGGCTGTCTTATTGACACGAGGACAACAGACTGCCCTGCGGAAGAACTGAAGGAGTTAATCACAGGAAAGCTGGGTCTTCAAACAGATAGCCAATGCCAAATGTAACAAGGAACAGAGAGGCTGCTTCTGATAAGAAAGCAAGCTGCAGACTTGATGGTTTTAGCAGAGTAGCCAAATTTGGATGAAAGAATCTAAAGAATCATCAATAATATCACATCATGGACCTGAAGGACGAAAATCTGTCTATGAATCCAACACCAGAACAACTCAGCAACAGAACTTCAAAGGCTAACACTGTGCAAGGATCAAACCCTGGACACTTCCAGAGGAAGACCCAGTTGGTTGGAATTGTAGATAAACTCGGGTAATAGCCAAGCTGAGTTGTCAGGCTTAACTTGCTCACTTGAGGGGACTCAGTTTGGTTACTACATGAAATAAAGTTCAAGTCATTGTTTCAGTACGTGATTGTCTATGAGATTTCTTAATAAGTCACTGAATTAAAGGCAGCTTGGAGAATCATAGAATTCCTACAGTGTGGAAATAGGCCATTCCAACCATTGGGTCTACACTGACTCTCCAAGAGCATCTCATCCAAACCCACCACCCTATCCCAGCAACCCTGCATTTCAGATTGCTAACCCACCTAGCCTGCGCATCCCTGGACACTAGACAGTAGTTTAGCATGGCCAGTCTACCCTAACCTTTGCACTGTGGGAGGAAACTACAGCACCCGGAAGAAACCCATGCAGATGGACACCAGAGGGTGGAATCGAACCCGGGCCCCTGGTGCTGTGAGGCATTAGTGCTAACCACTGAGCCACCGCGCTATGTTATGGCAAATTACCCACAACATCCCCTACCCGTTCATTTCTTGAAAAAAAACTGTTCCTGAGACGAGAGTGTCACTGGCAAGATCAGCACTTATTGCCAATCCCTCATTGCCGAGGAGGAAACCCAGCTTGTCCCCGCCTCCCTAACCTGTCCTTCCTCCCACCCCCATCTCCTATCTACCAGCCTCATCCCGCCCCCTTGACCTGTCCATCCTCCCTGGATTGACCTATCCCCTCCCTAACTCCCCACCTACACTCACCTTTACTGGCTCCACGCCCACCTCTTTGACCTGTCTGTCTCCTCTCCACCTATCTTCTCTTATCTTATCCGCCTCCGCCTCCCCCTATTTATTTCAGAATCCCCTTCCCCTTCCCCCATTTCTGAAGAAGGGTTCAGGCCCGAAATGTCAGCTTTCCAGCTCCTCTGATGCTGCTTGGCCTGCTGTGTTCATCCAGCTCTACACCTGGTTATCCCGGGTTTAACCACTGTTGGCCTGGAGTCACACGTAGCCAGACCAGGCAAAAGTAGCAAGATTTCCTCACATAAAAAGGGTCCCAGTAAACCAGTTATGTTGCATTGTCTTCGTTTTAAAACAACAACTTGACACGGCCATTGGACCCTTTTTATTCCAGATTGTTTACTGAATTCAAATTTCACCCTCTGGCATGGCAAGATTCGAACACATGTCCCCAGAACATCAGGTTGAGTTTCTGGATTACTCAGCTAGTACCATTACCATGACACCTTGCCCTCCCTGCTGATTTACCCATACAGTCTCCTGGAGAAACAAGGGAGCATCTTTTCAAAGTGAAAGAAAGGAAGCTGAGGGGTCGGGGAGGAGATTTTATGAAGTTCCCTCCCCCTACCCCCACCCGCCACTGACAGCACGGGAATCCTCAGAATACTTGGATGAACGTTTGGAAGTGTCATAACATTGAAGGCTATGGGCCCAGTGCGTGAAAGTGGGACTAGTGTAGGTCCTGGTGTACTTGTGGATTGGAAGGATGGAGGGAGGCGATAGCCTAGTGGATTAACAGTCCAGCAATAATACCAAAGACCCAGGTAATGTTCTGGGGACTCAGGGTTAAATCCTGCCATGACAGATGATATGTATTGAATTCAAATTCTATCTTGAATTAAGAATCTAATGATGACCATGAATCAGTTGTCGATTGTCAAGAAAAACCCATCTGGTTCACTAATGTCCTTTAGGGAAGGAAACTGCCATCTTTACCTGGTCTGGCCTACATGTGACTCCAGACCCACAGCAATGTGGTTGACTCTGAACTGCCCTCTGGGCAATAAATGGGCAATAAATGCTGCCTGGCCAGTGACACCCTCATCCCATGAAGGAATTAAAAATACAGTGAGTCACTCATACTGTAGTCATTCACAATTTTATCCCAGGAACTAATGTACACAAAAGAAAAAGAAAACCTTGGTTACCCAGATCGATACATTCTGATGAAAAAGAGGGATCCGAGAAGGTAACTTTTCAGTAGAATTCTGACGAACTCTAAAGAGAATGAGGAACTGCAAGGAAATGCTCCAATTCATCCCTATTATGTAAGGCATTCAAAAGCCCTTAACCTCTCTCTGACAACCTGCATCAGGTATAGACAGAGTAATTTCTAGTATACAAGTCTCTCCATATAGGGGTTCTTGTGGTAACGCCCTATCTCAGAGCCAGGTGGTCCAGGTTCAAATCCCAACTGCTCCAGAAGTATGTTTCTGAATAGGCATTGATTAGAAAATATCCTCAAGGCTTTCTATGGCCTGCCCCTTCCCTCTCTTTCTAAATTCCATGAGCCAGACAATATTCAATGCTCCTCCAATTCCACAATTCTATTGTGCACCCTTTGTAATAAAAGCTGGAGTCGCCATAGCCTTCCAGACCGTAGGGCTGCTCTCTCATTTAAGAGAGAGTGATGACTGGTAGTGATTTAAGTGGAGGGTCTCCATGCTTCAGGTGAGATGAGAGACAGAGAAGGAGGAGAGTCCTTCATGGTAACTTCAGCCGCTGTGGGAATTGAACCCACATTGTTGGTATCACTCCACATTGCAAATCAGCTGTCTCACCAACTGAGCTAACCAACACCCTAGAAACACACCAACTATCAGCTAAAAATGCTGCCACCAACCCTTTCTATACTCTAAGGGTCTTGGTTAAAAATTGGAGGAGGACAAACTACAAGTGAGTCTTAGCAAGAAGTGGAACTTAGCAAAGAAAGAAATATTGTGCAACGAACTATAAAGTCACAATCTCAAACTATCCCATCAGGAGACAGTAATGATATCTGTGTATTAGGTCTCACAGCTGGTAGGCAGTATACCTTAAGAGACATACTCATGGTACCTACCATGCCCATACCAAAGTATGGGGCTCATGGATATGAAAAGTCTCAGACTCCATCTTAACTGGGGCCACCTAAAGCATGGCACATTGATGCAAGTGTGCTGTTGTCTGTAACTGAACAGCTTAGCAATAGTCCTGACATTGAAGCTAACACAATATCACCCCATCAGGCATAAACATCCTACAGTCAGTCATTCAGCACAGAAACAGACCCTTCGGTCCAACCAGTCCATCCCGACCATATGTCCAAACCAAGTCCCCCCTGCCTGCACTTGGCCCATATTCCTCCAAATATTCCTTATTCAGGTAACTTATCCAAATGTCTTTTAAACATTATAACTATACCTGCATCCACCACTCCCTCTAGCAGCTCATTCCACATACAAACTACTGTGTGCACTAAAGTTGCCTCTCGTCTGTTTAAAATCTTTCTCCTCTCACCTTAAAAGTATGCCCCCTAGTTTTGAACTCCCCTACCCTAGGGAAAGAACCATTGCTATTCACCTTATCTATCCTCATGATTTTATAAACCTTCGTAAAGGTCACCCCTCAAACTCCTACGCTCCAGTGAAAAAAGTTCCAGCCACAACTCAAAACATCTATTCTCAGCAACATCCGGATAAATCTCTTCTGAACCGTCTCCAGCTTATTAATATCCTTCCTACAATAGGGCAACTAGAACCATACACAGTACTCCAGAATAGGCCTCACCAATGTCCTGTACAACCTCAACATGACATCCCAACTCCAATACTCAAAAGGTCCAAGCCACGAAGGCAAGTGTACTAAATGACTTCTTAACCATCCTGTCTACATGTGATGCAAATTTCAAAGAATTATGTACCTGAACCCCTTGGTTTCTCTGTTCTACAACACTACCCAAGGCCCTACTATTTTTGCCTATGCTGTAGGCAAAAGCTTACCCATGGGAGCAAAGCAGCCTTCACTGGGATCTCAAACTAGACTCTTCACCCTGCTGGCCACTGTATGATGCCAGATTGAGTGGAGCTTAATGTAGTTTCTCACATTAACCCTTTCAGCACCACCACTGTATACAATACTGGCATCTCAGTGCTTTATGATTGGCAGTGAAGGGCTCTTGCGGCACAGTGGTGGTACATCCTAATTCTGAACCCGATGGTCCAGGTTCAAGCCCCACCTGTGGCAAAGGTGGATCGTGACACGACCGAACAGGTTGATTAAACTAACTACCTTTGGCAGCCATGCCTTCCCCCAAAGCCCCCAAGCGCTGGAATGCCCTTTCTTCAAAATCTCCCAACTTCTGCTCAAGGTGCTCATTCGCACCTAACCCTCACACCAAGCCTTTGCTCACTCCAAACAGAACTGGCACAAGGCTTGGGTTCTTTGATGACTCACTTGAGGACACTTTACAGCAATAGAGGCGTTGGATAACAGGCAGGTTATTACTATGACATGGCTCCATTGCACATGCTGGACTCTGATCGACCTTCTTCCCTACATCCTAAATCGTCTTTATTAAACCTCCTGTAAAACAACTTGGGTCATTTCACCACTTTTGAAAAAAGCAGCAACAAGCTTTTGTTTAGTGGGCAAGATGGATGGTCAAGTCACACTGATTTGAATCCCACTGGCCAACTAACCAGCAGTGCACCCCATTGTACGGTGTATTGTCCCTGTGAGGGATAAACGTACCAATCTCCTTTGTCATAGCAAGTCCTTGTGGGTAGGTGATGGGTGCCAACTTCTTCTCCTTCAGTTTCTCAATGGTGTCTTTATCGTCCCTCAGATCCAGTTTGGTGCCTACCAGGATGATGGGAGTACTGGGACAGTGATGCCGCACCTCAGGATACCACTGTAAGGAGGACACAATAGTCGTGAGCTCACCAACACGACCAACACAACGACCACCACAGCATGGGATCAACTTCTCAGTTTCCAAAAAAAAAAAAAAGCCTTGTGTTTTAGGAGCAAATTACTGCAGATGCTGAAATCTGCACTGAAAACAAAAAATGCTAGAAGTCACAGCGAGTCAGGCAGCATCTGTAGAGAGCGAGCGAGCGAACATTGAGTCGAGATGACTCTAATGAAGCTCTGAAGAAGTCATCTAGCCTCGAAAAAACATTAGCTTGCGCGCTCTCTCTCTCTCACCACCACCCCCCAGCCCAGGGTCAAAAACACAAGGGTCCACACCTACTCCTTATGCTCTTAGGATCCTGCAATTCACATTTGCTGCCTGACCTACAAGGGTTTTCTTTTTGGTGTTCAAGTCAAATAGTGTTATCTTTGGCAAAACACTCCTGCAGGTGAACACGACGCAGAGTGAAACTCTCTCTACTTCCACCTAGGGCACAGAAACGTACCACTACAAAAACAGCAAATTGAACATTCCCATTCCAGTAACACTCAATGCATCTAAATGGGACTAACTATTGTTGCTAAGTTGTATAGAGATTTGAGAGTTATGGGGGTCAGTTGGCTGGTTTGTGATGCCAACAGTGTGGGTTCAATTCCTATACCAACAAGGTTACCCTGAAGGGCTCTCCTTCTCAACCTCTCCCCTGGCTTGTGGTGTTGTTTAATTTCAGAAACGTTAAGAAAAAATATCTTTATATATATATGCCTGTGGCATGGTGACCCTCAAGTTAAACCACCAATGGTTTTCTCTCTTTAAGAGAAAGCAGTCCTGTGATCTGCTAATTCGATGGCAAATTTCTCAATTGGACTGCAGCTTGGCAGTATAAAAATCTTGAGTTTTGCCAAAACTCTGCATTGCGCAGTAGTCAGGATTAACACAAGAATGCCAAAACCTACTGTAATATAAATTGTTGTCATAAAGAGTGCTGATTGGTTGGCAAGTCGACTCTGATTGGCCGAGGTGTTGTCATGGAGAACGCAGCCAAGATTTATAGACTCCCCATCTCCCAGATAATTCAAAGGCAAAGCAAGACTTGAACATATTCCTCACATTTGTCCTTGCTCAGAAGGTTTAGTCACTTAGGACAGGGCTGAGGAAAAATGTTTCTTTGCTCAAGAGGTTGCAAATCTTTAAAATCCTCTGCGACATCTAGCTATGAAATATATTCAAGACAGTGTCAACGGATTTTCAGGAACTGAGGGAATTAAACAATATGGAGGATAAGGCAAGATGGTGATGATGAGGTAGAAAGTCAGCCACGATCCTACTAAATAAAGACCGGGTCTAAAAGGCAGAAAAGGTCTACACCTACCCCTTATGTTCTTAAGATCCTGCAATTCACATTTGGGAAATATCTAATAAAGTCATTGAAAGCCTCTAGACAATTGCTTGGCATCAAAATGGCTGCTCACCAGCATCTCCCTAGTATGGAAGTGAAGGCCCCTGTTTGGGTGAACAATGGTGGCCGTTTTGAAAAGAAATGACTCAGTTCCAACAAACTCAGGAAATGTTGCCCCAACCTTGCATTAAGCAGCAGTGCCGTGGAACCTGGGCTGTCCCTTTTTAGAAAATGCTAAAGACAAACACGCAACATTGACCAGGTTTTCAGATAATTAAAACAAAAAAGGGGGGGGGGGGGGGGGGGAGCTGCCAGCTGAGCGTGACTGATTAAAAATCATGCTTACCTTGGCGCGAACATTTTCGAACGACGCGGGGCTGACCAATGAAAAGCAGATCAAGAAAACGTCCTGGAGGGAGAAAGGGAAAATGGGAAAATGAATCACCACCGCGGCAACACCGGTTACAGGGTATCATGGCAACCAAACATCCATTCAGTCCAACAAGAACACAACTCACAAACAAAAACAAAATTGCTGGAAAAACTCAGCAGGTCTGGCAGCATCTGCGAAGAAGAAAAAATAATTCAGAGTTAACGTTTCGGGTCCGGTGACCCTTCCTCAGACCTTCGTGAAACATTAACTCAGATTATTTTTTTCTTCACGGATGCTGCCAGGCCTGCTGAGCTTTTCCAGCAACTTCTGCTTTTGTTCCTGATTTACAGCACTCGCAGTTTCTTTCGGTTTTTACTCAGAACATAAATCAATGGCACTAAGGAAAAAACAAGAAAAGATATGTGGATATAGTGTACACTTTTTAAAAAAGTTATTGAAATGAATAAAACCAAAAAAGAACTGCGGATGCTGGAAATCTGAAACAAGAAAGCAGAGAATGCTGGAGGAACTCCACAGTTTTGACGGTATGTATGGAGAGAAAGAGAAGTTAATGTTTCAAAAAGGGTCTGCAGAAGGGTCATCGGACCTCAAATATTGACTCTGCTTTCTCGCCACAGATGCTGCTGGACTTGAGATTCTCCAATGAAAGGAACGATTGGCCATGATCGCACAAAATATTGTCAGATAATAGATGGGCCGAATGGTTATGTGCCTGTCAAAGTCACTGCCAGACCTGGAATATCTGGGGTGGCACAGTGGCTCAGTGGTTAGCATTGCTGCCTCACAGCACCAGCAACATGGGTTCGATTCTACCCTCGGGCGACTGTCTGTGTGGAGTTTGCACATTCTACCCGTGTCTGTGTGGGTTTCCTCCGGGTGCTCCGGTTTCCTCCCACAGTCCAAAGGTGTGCAGGTTAGGTGGATTGGCCATGCTAAGTTGCCTGTAGTGTTCAGGGATGTGTAGATTAGGTTGGTTATAGGGGGATGGGTGGGATGCTCTGAGGGTCAGTGTGCACCTGTTGGGTCGTAGGGCCTGTTTTCACATTGTAGGGATTCTATGAAAGAGTAAACACTATGAAATCTCCTATAGTTGCCTACCGCCCTCCAATGCCTGAAAACAATCACTGTGCCTCAGACTCACACGCATCAGTGAGCCTAGATATGTTACTGTGACTATAGACACTAGAGCACTCTGGAGCTTGCTCCATATTCCTGCACGTGCATTTTCCAACAACAAACCGAGAACACAAACCCAGGCTGCCTTTCACCCCTCAACGCTCTCCGCCTCGCTTGGAGCTGGTCTATTTGCAGTTCAGCATTGTAGTGGGTAGCCAGACTGAGCATTTTGGGGAAGTAAACCTTTTAACCACTCAACACCAATGCAAATTTCCAATTAGAAAAAGACAACCCAAGTGTGAGCTCGCTGAGAATGTTAAGATATTGAAAAAAAAGTTTAATACATCAAGTGTATTAATCTCCATGAGCTCACACTTCAGTCCTCTTTTGTTTGATCTGCCTATGCTGCATGTAAAACAAAAAACTTTTCACTGTAATTAGATACATGTGACAATAATAAATCAAATCAAATCAAAGAAGGTAGCTGGGGTATGGAGCAGGGGGCCAAAACCAGGGGATACTCTCTCAGATTAGATGTTAGGACATTTGGGACTGAAAAGAAGGAATTACTTCTCCCAATCAGTGGTGGATCTTTGGAATTTGCTACCTCAAGTGGCGGTGGAGGCTCAAGTCATTAAGCATCTTTGAGAAAGATCAACAGATAATTTTTTTTTTTACATCTAATGACTAAGGTCAAGGGTATAGTCCAAGAAAAAGGCTTCAATGGTCTAGAATGTCACAGCAGGATCAAGGGGGCTGAATGGCCTAATCTTGCTCCTGGGTTTGGAAATGGGAGTGAGACCAGACACAATATTAACAAAACAGGTTCAACGAATGGCAGGACACTAGGAAGCTCAGAGGAACAGAGGGATCTTGGGGAGCTTGTTCACCGATCCCTGAAGGTGGCTGGACAGGTTAACAGGGGTACTTAAAGCAGCATACAGGACACTTGCCTTTAACAATCGAGGCTAGACTACAAGCGTAGGGAGGTTATGCTGGAGCTGTACAGTACTTTGGTTTCACCACAGCTGGAGTACCGTGTGGGGTTCTGGGTCACCTCAGTACAGAAGGGATGTGATCGCACTGGAGGAAGTGAAAAGGAGATTCACCAGGATGTTGCCTGGCATTTTAGCGATGGTTGTTGTCTTTGGAGCAGAGAAAGTTGGGGGTGGGGTGGACCTGATAGGGGTGTACAAAGGGCATAGACAGGGTAAATAGAAAGCAGTTGTTCCCTGTAGTTGAAAGGGACTAGATTAATTCAGGATCTGGTTGGCACAGGCAAGTTGGACTGAAGGGTCTGTTTCCATGCTGTACGTTTCTATGACTATGAAAGGTCAAGAACAGGAGGCACAATTTTAAAGAAGTGAAAGGCAGGAGGCTTAGAAAGGATTTGAGGATTTCGTTCCCCTCCACTCGGAAGGGTTGGGGAGGGTCTGGAAGGCACTGCCTCGAAGGACAGTTGAGGCAAAAAACCTCTCAGAAATACTTGGATGTGCACTTGAAGTGTCATAACATTCAAGGCTATGGTGTGGGAAAGTAGTTTTGCCAGTACAGACTCAATGGGCCAAAGAGCCGCTTCTGTATGGTGTGATTCTGCGAGACAGAATATAAACTAAGTACAATTGTGAAGTGGAGGATTTTCACACCACACTGGCTGAAGGAAAAAAACAAGATTATTTTTGTTCTGAAAAGCAAGGCTGAGAAACATGCACCAAAAGGAATGAGGTGTTCTTGTACATGAATCACTGAGTTAACAAGTAGGTACAATCAGAGGTGACTGATTGAAACAAATAAAACTCTTCAGGGGGTTTAACAGAGTAACTGCTGAGAAAGTATTTCTCCTGGCTGGGGCATCTAAAACACAAGGTCAACAAAAAGTGTCAGAATAACAACAATTATCATAAAATGGGCTAGCTGTGGATCAGATGAGGAGACATTTATTAACTCAAACGGTTTACCAATTTATTGGCAATCTCCAGCCAAGGTTAAGCTATAACCTTAGTGAATGATGGAGAGTCTTGATGGCTCTCAAAGGCATGATGGCTGACTCCAGTCTTTCTTAATTTCTTAAGTAATTCCAACAGGCAGTTAGTGAGAAACCTCTCACTATAGAATGGGGAACTTGACACACATGGAGAAGTTGACGTGAACAGCACAGACACATATACATGAGGCTCGGTAAAGCATTATAAAAAATAGGAACAAGATCAAGTTGATGAGGTCAGATCAAAAAAAAACGAGTCGTCTCACTTGCACCATAAACAGGTATAGAAGTGTTGGGCCAAATGGCCTGTTTGTGTGCTACACACTACTTGAGTAAGGTTTACGTACGGTCTGTGGGTAGGACAGTGGCCGGAGACGATCATAATCCTCTTGTCCAGCTGTATCCCATAGCCCCAGGTTCACTGGCTTACCATCGACCATCACGTTGGCGGAATAGTTATCGAATCTGTAAGGAGGAAGAGAACAATCAAACACCCGAGTAGGGTGGGGTTGGGAATAGTAAAGTGATCAGACTCGTTATCAAGGGGTGGGGGAAAGGGTAGCTCAGTTGGCTGGACAGCTTGTTTGTGACGCAACAAGGTGGGACCAATTCCTGCATTGGCTAAGGTTATCATGAAGGACTCTCCTCCTCACCCTCTCCCCTCGCCCAAGGCATATTAACCCTCAGGTTAAACCACCATTCATCTCCTCTCTACTGGGAGATCAGCCCCACCCATGGTCTGGTAAAACTATAGTGGCTGAAATGGAGGGGACTGGACTAACGCTCAGGAGAGGAGAGTTCGATCCCAGCCCAGCAGTTAGGGATATTAACAAATCTGGAATAAACCACTCATCCATTTAGCAAAAAAACTTCCAGATACCCATCCGTTTCACTAATTCCACTCTTTGTCTAACCCAGACGTTCTATTGCTTCCTCTAGGTATTCACCTAGTCTTGTGCTGAACACACCTTTGCTATTTACCTCCATCACAGAAAGTTCTCAATTCTCACCACTCCTCCAGGTTAAGAGGTTTTGTCTAACTCCCTGTTGGATTTACATTAAAAAAAAAAGCAGGAGCTTCAGTAGGGTGTTTCAAGGAAGGATATCTGTCCTCCTCACTCAGTCTGGCAGACAGGTTAACCTGACCCTACTGTGTCTTCAGATCTACAGCAACGGGATTCTTAGCTGCACCCCACCCCCCCGAAAGTGGCCTAGCAAGTCAGTAAATGCGAGTGCAATTGGGGGTGGACAGTAAATGCTGGTGAATACCCCAGGTCCTGAGAATAAATAAAAACAGTATATAACTGTTATGGAACAGAACACTTACTGCACCCAACACTGGACACTTGTTTAAAGAAAAAGTAGCCTTTTTATTTTATTTTTTTTTACAAGGAAGGGTAATTATTCCCATTGCAAAAGATTGTTACTGCAATGATTGTGACCCTGGATGAACAGATATTCTTGAATATTGATGTTTCTGGGAAAGCTCAGCAGGTCTGGAAGCATCTGTGAAGAAAACCAAAATCAGAGTTAACGTTCCGGATGCCGGTGACCCTTCCTCAGGACATTAACTCTGATTTTTTTCTTCACCGATGCTGCCAGAGCTGCAGAGCTTTTCCAGCAGCTTCTGTTTTTGTCTTGGATTTACAGCTTCCTCATTTCTTTCAGTTTTTATTTTAAAAACCCAGTGTCTTTGTTCCAGGACGAGGCATCCTCCCACCAGCGAATACTGCGTCACAATATGACCTGGACGTCCACAAACAACGATCAAGCCAAATAAAGCAGGAATTTGGGAGGATTTACTGGGCGATCAAATAAAAAAAAAGCAACAATCAGATGACTGTAAATCACTCGTGGACAACAAAGACCCAGTTGCTGAGTAGGGGGAAAAAAAAAAAATCACGAAAGAAAGAAGTTCTTCAGCAACAGGAACCAACAATATCTTTGTCTTTTTTTTTAAAAAGAGACAGGGGAAAGTTGCTTGGTGCATTGGCTGACTGCAGCGAATCAGTATGGTTATGATATTCCAGGCCAGTTACTGGTCAAAGGCCAAATGGTCCCACATCAGGAGCACCGCAAGACCACAAGATATAGGAGCTGAATTAGGCCATTCAGCCCATCCATGGCTGATATGTTTCTCAACCTTATTCTCTTGCCTGCTCCCTGTAACCTTTGATCCCCTAATCGAGGATCTACCTATCTCCCATTTATAATCTCCAATATGTAACTAACACATCAGCTTGCCTTTAGAACCCAGCATTTAAGTTAACCTGTTCAGACACATTATGCCATATCTGGGGCAGGTGAGGCTCGAATCGAGACCTTCTAGCCCAGAGTAAGGACATTCCCACTGCGCTAGAGATAAGCGCAGAGTTGGGAGACATGTCTTCACCCAGGGAATGGTGAGCCCTGTGGAAATCTCTCCCAAAGAAAGCAGTCAAGGCCAAAATAGTGAACGTTTTCAAAGGAGGAAATAGATCCACTTAACCCCAAGGGATATGGTGACTACGTGTAGGCAGTATATGGAGTTGGATCAAACATGGAGAATACTGCAGAAACTCAGAACTGTCAGTATCCGCGCAGAGACAGTTAGGGGTTTCAAATCTGAAGGAAATTAGGTGATCAGCCATGATCGTGTTGAATGGCAGAGTAGGATTGAAGGGCCAAATGGCCTACTCCTGTTCCTATTTTCTAGGTTTCAGTATTTCAAGACCCTCAGGCCCTGCATTGTGGGCTAGGCAGTTCTCAACATTAGTTCACCAGAAATAAAGACAAGATGACCACATCACTCTAGCAACCCATGCACAGCAACTGCAACTGGTGAAATGTGCTTCGGATAGGCGCTTGATGGGAACAAGGTGTCTAAACGCTGCTTACAGTACTTCCCAATCTTTACTACAACCTCACCATGCTGTCCTGTCTCCAGGTAGCAGCTTAACAAAACATTTCTATCTCTCACACAGGCTATGCAGTCCTACCATTGAACATTATTGTGATCAAATGGCACCTTTAACACTTGGCAGCATTATCTGATGCTAAATAGAGGGGTATTAGAATGGATGGCCAAAAGCTTGATCAAAGCACTGAATGTTTCGGAACATCTTGTAGAGGGAGGAAAGGAGGACAGGTTTAAGTGAGAGAATCCCAGAGCTTAGGATAAGACACAGCTGCCAATGGTGGAAATATTTAAAACCGGGCATACTCAAAGAGATCAGACTCAAACAAATATCTCAAAGTTGTGGGGCTGGAGGTGCTTAGGAGGTACAGAGGGGCAAAGCCACGGCAAGATTGGAAAACAAAGGGCAAGAAGTTTAAAAATGAGGCCATTGTACGACTAGGGGCCAATGCAGGTCAGTGGGCACAGGGGAGCTAGGCAAGTGCTTGTGCGAGCAAGCAGAGGATTTCAGTTTACAGAATACAGACAGAAAAGTAAGAGTGTGTTGGAACGGTCAAGTCTGGGGAGGGAACAAAGGTGCTGCAGAAGCAGATGACATTATGGAGTCTCATTATTCAGGGTTGGTCAAACAATAATGCAGGTAGAAACTAGTTCTCTCCTGATTTTCTTGCCACAAGAGATTCTCCAGTGTAGGGAAGTTTAGGGATGGCAGTATACTTTGGGTGGAGAACACAGTGTAAAACTAGAACACAGAAGCTAGGGGTGAACCAACGCAGCGGAGCACAGACAAATGGGCATCGGGAGGCCTGTTCCTTTGTTGCAAATTCTATCAGTACTGCTTATTTGGAAAGTGACACTAACGCCACAAATGAGCAAAGATGGTGTCAATCACCAAAATGGTTGTGTTTGGAGTACTAAATTCAAAATGGATGTAGGCAAGACACAGAGTGGAGTTCAGTGGGAGGACCATTTCAGAGCAAACCCCAAAATCCTAAAGAGAACAACATATCTATACCACTTCTGAGGTACTCACACGGTCGGGATGTATTCTCCAGGAAAGGCATTTGTCGTGTAGCTGATCAGCAGACAGGTTTTACCAACGGCACTGTGACAGAAGAAACAGATACAGGTGAATAGCCAATGACAAATCATCCCTGTTTAAACCATGCTGTGTATACAAGTCCAGCATTACAGTGATTACATTCAACAGTACATGATTGCAAAATGCTTTGGGAAAGTACTGGCTCATGGTAGGTGCTATAGAAATGCAAGTTGTTTGAAAATTATGAAAGTAGGTAGAAGCTGGTAATCTGAACCAAACAATTCAGAAAGAGTCAGGAATGACTCGAAAAAGATGGGATTATGGTCTTTTAAACCGAAACGTGCACACAATCACATCCCTGTGACCCTTTTTAATCACATTAAACAAACAAAAATGGTCTGTACTTTATTCTAGGCCTTTTTGTTTTTAAATCCACATTCTTATTCCCAATTGCTTCAATTCAAATAATAGTTCAAAACTAGCAGGCTAGTAAGAAGATCCCCAAAACATACAGTAATTAGACCATTCAAATTGGTGCAAGGCTTCAATTATGAAGAAAACCCAAGAATGGAGAGATTACCCTAACAGATCCAAATCATATCCAATCTTTGAAAACAAACACATGGACCAAAGCTCAAATCACAAACAGTTCAAGAACAAGCCCAACATGTTAAAAGGAAGTGAAGGAATTTAGGAATAGGAGGAGGCTCGCTGAGGTTTAGAAGAACAAGAGGCAAATTTATTGAAACATACAAAAAAATTTCTTAGGGGCCTGGCAGGATAGATGGAGAAAGGCTGTTTCCCCTTGCAAGTGTACCTAGGATCAGCGTGCATTATCTCAGAGCAAGTGGTCTCCCGTATAAGACAGAGGAGGAGGAATTTTTTTTCTTTCAGAGAATAGTAAGTCGGACGAAATTCTTTCCTGCTGAGGACTGTCGAAGCTGGTCATTAAGAATATTCAAGGCCCCTAGGTAGATTTTTTTTTAAAAAAAATTCAGTAAGGGAATCAAGGGTCATGGGGAAAATGCAGGAAAGTGGAACGAGGATTGTCACATCAGCCATGAAAATGGTTTACCAGTTCACATTCACCAGGTTCCATTTTATCAACCAACAACAAGAATGGCATTATGGCTCAGTAGTTAGCACTGCTGCCTCATAGCACCAAGGACCCTGGTTCAATTCTAACCTCAGGTGACTGTCTGTGTGGATTTTGCACATTCTCCCCTTGTGTGCGTGGGTTTCCTCCGGGTGCTCCGGTTTCCTCCCACAGTCCAAAGATGTGCAGGCTGGGTGGATTGGCCATTGGAAATTACCGATAGTCTCCAGTTAGGTGAGTTAGCCATGGGAAATACATGGATAGGGCTGGGGGCTGGGTTTGGGTGGGACGTCCTTCGGAGGGTCAGTGCAGACTCAATGGGCTAAATGGCCTGCTTCCACACTGTAAGGACTCTAATTAAAAATGTCTCATGTTTGATAGAGATGAAGTAACTTCATTGAGACAGGCTGTTTCAGCAATCTTGTCAAATAAAAAACTCTGAAATTTGAAAACGCTCAACAGCTCTCGAGGAAGCACAGTGTTGTACGTGTGTCTATGTGTGAACATCTCTAGTACTTCCTCACAACGCCCCTGAACAGCCTGGTTTCCATTGAATAAGGTGATGTCCTTTTGTGGACCCCCTCCAGCAAAGGGGAAAAGGACAGAGTCTCTTCATCATGCTTTCAGTCATCTTCAACTCATCAGGAAAAGCAATGCACACTCCTAACTCAACCTTACACACCTCCCTATTCTATTCAAACTGAATTACAATCCTACAAGAACAACCATAGTAGTTATAGCTCACTGCCATATATTTGCAATCCACTTAATCACAAGTACGTATTACAGACCAACACCAACTTTCGTGTGTTTGGTGGTACTACTTTGAAACTGCTGGCCTATTTGGCACTGCAATTGCTTTCACCTTATCAGTAACAGAACTGACTCTCTTTAGAGGCTCTCTCTCCATCACACAGATTAATCCTGCTGCTAAAGCCAGCATGCGTTAGATGATCTGGTTTTCACACCTAAACAGAAACTGCTCATCACATTGACTGCAAAAAAAAAACAAAAATTGCTCAAGCACCTAATGAGGTGAAAGACATGGGCATGCCACAGAATTGCTATGTTCCAATTTTCACACTTGGACAGTGATATTGAAGAACAAAATTGCTCATGGCCTCCGTTCTCTAAATCTTCATGCTTTCCTGACTCCACCGCTACCGTCTTGCCACTTTTGCGGCCTCTGGACATGTTTAAAAGCTGTTTGCCATCAGCACTTCCGATTCTAATGAATGGTCATTTAATCCCCTCCCACACTGAAGCATTAACATGATTTTCTCTCCTAGCATTTCTAGCTTTTTATGTTCTCTTATTTCAGATTTCCAGCAACCACAGTATTTTGCTTATCACCAACTTACTGCCTTCATCCTTTTCAGAATCAGAACGGCAGGACAGTTGCAGTACAGGAGGGGGCCAGTTGTAATAGTGTACCAAGTACCACCTCCCCTTGCCTTCCCCTCATGATGCTGCCAGGCTTAGTTTTTCCCATTGTTTTGATTCTACCTCCCAAATGATAGCTGAAGCAATTGCAAAATGCAATTGTCCCAAATGTCCCAAGCAAAGTGACACAAAAAAATGTGACCTTAGTTTAAAAAAAGCAAGTCCAAAAAAAGAAAAAAAGAGGTATTTAGCTTGCTTTCGTGTCTGTTGGCATTGGTGGACACTTAAGGGGTGTAGAAGTGAGGAGGAGAATTAATCCTCATGGACCTCATACTTGAACTTTGCCGTGATCTCCTGTAAGTTAACATTGAAGATTTTTTTTGTTAAGTCTGGCTGACACAAGAGGGATGTAGCTGCAATTTTAGCAAGATCAAAAAATTGGTTGTCACTTGTCTGTGATCACAGGAGACGAGTCACCAGAAATTGCAATAACACAACGCACCGATAGATCTGACAGTATCATTCAGTCTGGTACAATTCCACATTATTTACAATGAATCACCACTTGATGAGATGTTTTAGATGACACGAGTGCTGGAAGTAAAAAGAGAAAAAGGACAGTTGGGCCAGAGAGGACCTCAAAGATGTCAGTTTAATGAGGACCCATGGGAGATGTTCACCAATTGATGAACTGTTTTTCCAGAATAGAGAAAGATCCGGGGGTTTGACATTAAAATGAGAGAAAACAAAAAAATTTTTTTGATAGGCACATTAGATAATACGAACAAAGCAGGTTCTTGTTGTCTGATGTGCCCAAGTACAGAGCTGGTTGTACACAGAATGAGGAGGAGCAGACCTTTCAGCACTTTGAGGCTGCTCTGCCATTTGAGAAGAACATGGTTCATTCGAGTATGGCCTCTATGTACTTATCCACCTATTCATTGTAGGGATTCTATGATTCAATGTGGAACGCGGCCATTCAGCCCATCAAGTCTTCATCGACACTCGAAAGAGCATCCCAAACCCCACCATATCCCCGTATTCCCGCATTTCCCATGGCTAACCCACCAACCCTGCACAATCCTGGAGGCTCTGGGAAATTTCCCACAGCCAATCCACCTAACCTACACATCTTTGGACTGTGGGAAGAAACCCACACAGACACGGGGAGAATATGCAAGATCCAAACAGACAGACAGTCACCCGAGGGTGGAATCGAACATAGGTCCCTGGCGCTGTGAGGCAGCAGCACTAACCACTGAGCTACTGTATTACCCACTCTCTGACTCCCCATCAATCATTTCACTCGGCCCTAAAACTATTCAGTGATCCTGCTCTCCAGAGGAAAGAATTCCAAAGATCATCAACCCTTTGACTAGCACATGAACCAGGAGCACAAGTCGGCCAGTCCTTGAGCCTGCTCTACCATTTAGATCAGATATGATCACAATCACAAAATCCACATTCCCACCTATCTGGATTAATCTTTTATTCCATTGCCAAACAAGAATCTACCTACCACTGCCTTAAAAAATTTTCAAGGACTCTTCACAAAAAGTAGGAGGAAGCAATGTTTCAAAAACTCATGATCCTCAGAGGAAGAGGTTTTGCCTCCTTTGTTTTAAATGAGCAACCCCTGATTTTTAAAAGAGCGATCCTCTTAGTTCTAGTTTCTCCCAAGAGAGGAAACTTCATCTCCACATTTCCTTGGTCCAGAGCCCTCAGCATCTTATATGGGTCAATCAAGTTGCCTCTTACTTCAGGTGAATAGAAGCCTACTTTGTCCATCCTCTCCTCAAGGCAACCTGCTCATTCCAGGCAACATTCTAGCAAAAACCGAAAGAGCTGTGGATGCTGTAAATCAGAAACAGAAATTGCTGGAAAATCTCAGCAGGTCTGGCAGCATCTGTGGAGAGAAATCAGTTAATGTTTTGGGTCCTGGGACCCCTTTTCAGAATACCGAGGATGGGTTACTCTATCCAAAACGTGGACTCTGATTTTTCTCCACAGATGCTGCCAGACCTGCTGAGATTTTCCAGCAATTTCTGTTTTTGAATAGTCTGGTAAAACCTGCTCTGAACTTCTTCCAATATATTTACACCCTTCCTTAAATAAGATGCTAGTACCGTGCACAGTGCTGTATGTGGTCTCACCAGTGCTCTGTATAACAGAGGCATAGCCTTCTTACTTTAGTATTAGATTCCCCTCTTGATAAAGTATAACATTCTATTAGCTTTCCTTATTACTTGCTGCGCCTGCATACTACCCTCTGCGATTTATGTGCTATGTCACCCAGATCCCTCCGTACCTAGAGTGTTCTGTGATAGGGTATGGGGAGTTCACACCACCCTTCATGTAAATCAAAAAAGGAACAGGAACACATTTGCTGCCCCGCCTCAATTTGGGTCAGATGCCACGATAATTGTCAACTAAAGTTTATAGACCACAGATCGTCCTCATCACAGAAAAGGAGTAGTCCTCTCCACGCTGATGCAGCAAATAAAAACCAACTACAGCATCCTGTTGCAACATAGACTGTAGAATCATGAGTCATATACATCCAAAAATCTTCATTTGCCTTGGA